AAATCCCAAACCCCAAGAAGCCCAAACTGCAAACCGCTTGTCCTGGCTTCTCGCGCCGGGCAGAAGATAGTTCGGGAAGTGATCAACCCCAGGCGGGAGAGGCGGGTGCGTGAACTCGGCTATCCTCAGAGCCATCAGGGTGCCTACTTTAAGCTTTGGCCTCCAGGGTTTCAGGGCTCAGGGCAAAGCCGGCTTAGTTGAGGGGTTTCGGGGATCAGGAGCAAACCTGAATGCAGCGGCTCTCAGAGTTTTAAGGCTTATTCACGGTTTAGGGTTTAGGGTTATTGGTCATGCCTCACTTTCCGCTGCATGTGTGCTAAAGGTGGTCGAGGCTCCGGTTGAGGCTTCTCAGGTTCGAGGCCACGAGGCCTGGAATCCCCATGAAGGCCTCAAAACGACGAAGCAGACAACCCTAAGCCCCTGCATCCTGAAACCTACACTCTCAAAGACTCAAGTTCTAAGTCGTAAACCATCAACTTCAGAAACCCCCCAAAAGCCCTAAACACTGAACCCTGCTAGAAACCCTTTATACAAACCTCTATAGAGCCATTGCATGGAACTCTTGCACGGAACCCTGCATGGAACCCTTCTAGGGCACCCTCTAGCCAACCCTCTACAGGAACCCTTTTAGGAAATCTTGAAAAGCCCTTAGAGGAACCCTAAAGGCAAGGCACCTCACTGGGCAGTTCACCAGGTCGGGGTACTTGCCCTTCCAGGTACTCGCCAGCGACTGCTGCGCCTTCATGTCGTACCTCCGGACACTCCCAGGGAACCCCCCCCCCCCNNGGCTTAAGGCTTAAAGGGTTTAGGGTGAAGGGCTTCCCCAAGTTGGGGCTCTTAGCAATTAGGGTTCAGGTTTTAGGGCTCCCGGAAGGGTTCTTGAAAGGGTTCCTCTGCAGGCCTCCAAAAACCCTCTTGATTGGGGACTAGACACTCAAATCATGGAGGGATCCGCTGACATGGCTTCGGGTATATTCCGTAATGAAGGGGTGTTGGAATCTCATAAACCTGACAGTTCCAGAAACCCACTACAGCCCTGCGGCTCCTCTGATAGAAACCCTTGCGGGCCTCACAGGGAACCCTTATATCGCCCTTTAAAGGAACCCCTTATAGAAACCCTTATAGCTCCCTTTTAAAGGAACAAAGGCCACCTTAAAGAAGCAGCTGAAGGGCTCAAGTCATCTCCTAAAGCTCCTAGGCTACACCTTCTACGATCCGAGCTCCATGCTATCGGGTTAAGGGTTTAGGGTTTNNAGTTTAGGGAGTTTAGGCAGTTTAGGAGTTTAGGCCGGGTTTTCGATCGAGGAGTTAGGGCAGTTAAGGCTCAGGGGTGTAGATTAGGCGGCTTTGGGTCTGAGGTGCCCTCGTCTCTTACTCATCCAGCTTTTCAGGGGAACTATCTAGGGATTTCATACGAACCCAGAAGCCTGAAAACTCAGATTAGCATAACATTTCTAATTCGTCTGCCTCTTGGAGTACTTTCTGAAAACCTAGGAAATCCTATAGAACACACTCCGTAAAGGCAAGAGCCTGAGAGTGCAGGCATTGCGGAACTCGTTCCGCTGCTCCTCGGCCTCACATGGGGCGGGCGAGGCGGTTGTTCACAAAAACAGGGGGTACCCCCTCTTTTAGGGGTTGTATGGGGTGTTCAAAAGTCTTTTGCCAGTTTTCTGAACGCGGGACGGTTCAGGAAACAAGGTCTACCTTAGTCCTGATAAGAAGGATTCCGCTATTTGGGGTTTATAGCTGGGGTCCACATTGTTCAAACAACTCCCGGAGCGAAAGTAAATCACACTGCTTGTTTTGGGGCCAGAAACCTTAGATCCTGAATCGTGTGGTCACCCTACATACTATACCCCCGCAATCCTGACAGTCTGCACCCTAAGCCCTCTTCCCTTATATCAAGAAGAACACTTTGGGGCACTCTGAACCTGCGCCAGGGTTTAGGGTTTAG